CTTGCTTTCAGCTTTCCTTTTTCTCCATTTTCAAAGCTTCCATCAGGTTTTATTATAGGCAATCAAGTACAACACGAGTTAGAAGTGGAGACTTAAGTAGCACCCAGACATGAGTAATGGTGTTAATAGCTACTCCAAAGCGACAGCCTTACACAGCAGGCACCGAGGGGTGGGATGAGAACTGCAAAGCACAGCAAAACAGTCCCATTGTAAAGAAACCGGGACCTAGGCATCAGGCACAACTCATGTGGAAGGGCTCCGCGATCACATATTCCGTCGCCAAGCAAAGTCGATAAGAGAAAAACCAGTTTTTCCAAAAAACCAATTTTTCTTCATATATGAGAACTCAGCTTGAAAAGCATTTGGTTTAGCAAGCAACTGTAGGATGCCTCACGGGTGAAGATATTGGGCGGGGGGAAGAGGTACAGTATACGCTAACTCAACAAGCATGATTGAGGGTCAAACTATTATTACAGATGGTGCATCATCAGAAGTGGGGATTTCCTAAAGGCTGGAAGCATCTGATTGCCACAGCAGGCTCTTTGGACACCGCTCATAGCTTGCCACTCATAGCTTTCAGGATGTGGTGGCGCTGCGGGTTAAACCGCAGAAGCCTCTGTGCTGCAGGGTCAGAAGACCATCAGTCGTAAGATCGAATCCACGCGACAGAGTGAGCTCCCGTCGGTTCTCCCATCTCCTGCCAACCTAGCTGTTCGAAAGCATGTCAATGCGACTCGATAAATAGGTACCACCACGGTGGGAAGGTAACAGCATTCTGTGTCTAGTTGCGCTGGCCGCATGACCACAGAAACTGTCTTTGGACAAATGTTGGCTCTACGGCTTGGAAATGGGGATGAGTACCGCTCCCTAGAGTCGGACACGATTAGACTAAATGTCAAAGGGAAACTTTACCCATAGCTTGCCAGTTAGCCTGCCCTGTTGAGCACTTGGTCGTGGGGAGGTAAACACAGGCTTTGTTTGCAACTCTGATTTCTCAGACATGAAGGCCCACCTGAACTGGGACTAACAAATTTCATTTGAAGTGTTCTCCGTAACATACCCTTTACCCACCTGAACTGGGACTAACAAATTTCATCTTCTAATGAAGTGTTCTCCATAACATACCCTTTGGCCACTATTTATGGAAATTAGGCTCATTCTCCGTATGTGTACAAGGATTTCCAGGCACTGTCTACTAGTGCAGAACCATTATCGGTGGCAAGGAAAAATGCAGAGTAGAAACTAGCAAACAAGGAACAAATTAACAAATACAGTAGGAGCCCCAGAGTAGAAACTAGCAAACAAGGA